TTGTTGCAGAAAAATCCGATTGAAAATCGCCAAAATTTTTCACTGGGTAAGATCGCCATTCAATAATTATTTGTCATGTTTATCAACGTCGTATATAAATTAATAAGTTAAGACATACGTAATCGTTATCTTCTAAAGATAGATGCTTGATGTATACAAGTTTTTATCCTTCAAGTGCAATTTTCGTATTTAAGAAATAACTGTTTTCTTATCAATGTGTCATTTAACTATTATCTTTTTTGTTTGTTTAACATTTTCAAGTTGAATTAAAATTTCTTTCATTAATGATTTTTTTTTTTTATAAAATAAATGAACAGATTATTGTTCTTTTATTTGAATAAAATAAAGAAAAAAAGAATGAATGATTATTTTTATTGTTTTAAATACCGTTTTCTAATTTTTTACTATCACTTATACGTTTTGCATTAAAAATACATGATTTCATACGTGTTAAATCTTGTTTTGATTTTGAATATTGTTTTTCATCAGTAAAATCAAGTAAATTTATAACTTTTGACCAATCACATGATGTTTTAGTACTTTTTTCTAATCCAAATGTACGTAAATTATTTTCTTCAATTTTTATTATTTGTTGTTTTTGTTCTATTTGTTTATGTCGTTCATTATACCAATATTCTAAATCATTTTGAGCTTGTTTTCATAATTCATTAATTTTTTGATTTTCTTCAGCATCTTTTGTAGCAAGTTCTTGTTCACGTTTTTTTTGCATAGCTTGTGTATAGGTGATACAATTTCATTTGAAAACATATTCCATGAAGATTGATTTTCTGAAAATGATAAAAACGAAATACATATATCAGAAGTATATAGTTCGTGTTTTTTTTGTTTTCTTAATTACCTGATTGTTGATTTGTTAAATCATTAGAAAGAATATTATCTGATGTTGGTGATAATGAATTTAATGTTTGTGATGAATTGATATTATTTACAGTATCATCAGATGGATATGTTGATGAAGTTTCATCTAATATATCAGATGGAAATGATGTCGTTATATTAGAATTCTAAATAAAAATGTTATAAAATGTTTTGAAACGTTTCTTTTGTCATACTCCCAGGAGATTCAATCCGACCTGTAGATTCGATCGAAAACGATCGGATCCGCTTCGGATTTCATCGGAATCCGACATCTTTCATAAAAAACCGATCGGATCCGACAAGGTTTTTGTCGGATTCCCAATAGCCGGATTTCATCGGAATTCGACGGAACACGATGAAATCCGGGCCGGATCAGGACAGATTTTATCACGTTCCGTCGAATTCCGATGAAATCCGGATCGGAATCCGGCTGATGGGAATCCGACAAATATAGGACCGGATCCGATCAAAATTATTCCGAACTGGCGAGATCCGACTGGGGTCGTTTGACCTGGGACATTGTCAATAACCCAAGAAGAATTATCTTTTTGAATGTTTGTTATTTCATTAGTATTTTCAAAGTCAAATAAATCAGTCTCGCGTGTACTAGAAGGACTTGATGTAAATATATTAAATTCATCCATGGTCGTTACACAATATTGTGTTAATGATTACGTTTTGTGTCACTGATTAAGCTGTTCTAATGTATTTGATGGACACCTTTTTTTTTCCTCTTTTTATTTTTTATTTTATATCGTTGCACTTGACTTATCATGCTTAGCAATATTTATAAATAGATGACAGAACTGAAAAGAATAGATATGATTCAAACTAACATTTTTTTGTCTCTATGGGAAATAAAAACATAAGATAATGATGTCATACAAGTTGTTTAGATATCTTTTGTTTTTGCCGAAATAGAAATCTTTCAAGTTTTTCCTAGTTTCTACGATATTTCACATAAAATGAAGATTGAATCATAAAAAAACAATAAATTCTTCGAATCATGCGCACACACACACATTACTATATAGAAAAGAAACAAAAAATATGTGTAATATATTTTATTCATTTCACCTGCACGAGTGTTGACAGTTTTTTTTTCTTTCTGATTCTATTTCGTAAAAGATGAATTATGCTTTCATACGACTAAAAGCTATGACTGCAAACCATCAAAGAAAAACAATCTTTTTACCTATATTTTTCATAGAAAATTTACTCTTCTAGATTACATAGAGAAAAAAGAAAATATCATTCCGTATTTCCAATGGCTATGTATAATTCCTCTTCCAATAATAATCAAGTAAATTAAAACAATATAAAAGTTTTATTATATATTCTATTTGATTTTATTTAGCATGAGAACGATATTACTATTATAAATTCTTTATTTTCCTCTGATTATAATTATGAACCAACACATGTTGATATATCAGATCAGAATACTAATGATAACCGTGATTATTTTTTTATTGAACATGATTTACAAGATAAAATGAAACAAATTGAACAAATTCTAAGTTATTATCGACAAGATCTTAAACAAGAATCAAATACACAATTAGACTGTGATCGAAATTTAATAACACGTCTTGTTGATTTTATTCGATCAGAATATTCTTCAAATAAAAATAAAATAAAAGATTTAGATATATTATTTAACGAAATATTAAATTTAAATGAGAAGAGATTTATTGAACAAAAAGAAAAAAAAAATGAACAAGTCCAGAAGGAAATTGCAAATTTGAAAAAATTAATTGTCACATCAACTAATGAAGATCATATTACAAAAAATATTTCTCAAATAAGTATGATAATTTATTAAAAAATAATTATTTAATCTAATTATAAATCTAGATTCAATGATTGATTATAAAATATGGATGGAAATAGAAGAGGAAACAAGAAAACTTTATAATTTAGTTGAACGACAACAAAATCAAATCAATGAACTTATCAAACTTATACCATTACAAGGTGAATATTAAAATGTATAATTTCGATTTGAAAACATTGAGGTAGATTGTTACCAGTTCCGATCTAAGCAATGAGACCAACTGGTAAAAATAAATAAATGATTCTTAATAATGTATAAGTTTTTGCTATAATCAGTCAGTTCTTTTTACTGACCGTTTTTTTGGGCTGCAAACAGTCATATTTTCTCTTACTATTTTCATTACTTTATGAGCATTCGATAAACGTATAATTATTCCATGCTCGTTACATATGAGCATGATGAATTAATGTTATACTTAATCTATTTCTATTTAATATATATGCTTTATAAGTTCTTATATCTACACGAAATACACACTAGAAATAGTAAGTGATAATAATAAATCGATGACAAACTATTATCCTAAACTATTACTTGTGTTTTTTTCCCGATAATATACCTTGCTATTAAGATGAATTAATAAAATATATTAAGCATGCTATGATGAATTTTTACTTAATAAGCAGTTTAATGTATGTTCTCTCATAGAAATAGTCCTTAGCTTCATTAAAAAGTAATTGATTTTCTACATGAATACTTATATAATCATTCCTTTGAAGAAAAACGAAGCATGTCGAATCTCAAAAAATCATTATTGGACAGAGTTTTCGATAAAATATTTGTTTTTTTTAAATAGAGTAAAAGCTAATACATGAACATTAGGATCTGTTATTGGTTAAGTAGAACGACTTTGAAAATAAAAATTAGAGCAATAGACTTCTTTCTTGTTTTTCTTTTTTTTATTCTACTTTCGATGTCTTATTAAAAACAAAATGCATACTAAGTATCATAAAATCGATTAATCAAACATTGCCTTGTCATGATTTACTCTTCTCTCATTAGTATGCAACTACAACATCATACATAATCAACATGTACTTCACAAAAAAATATTCGATTTCATGATCAATACTATTCATGAAGATTGTATCATATTGCTTCACTATTGAGAATAATTTTGATATTTTGGGTTGTGCTTTATCAGAAATATAATTTTATATTAGCATTCTCATTATCATATTAAATTCGTATAAAGTAATTTCTGATATCATTTGAATGAACATTTCATTAGAGATTTTGTCTAAAATCAATACTCACTTTATATAACCTAGTCTTTTCAAAAAAAGCCTTAAGAAGCTCTATTCATGGATGACATAAGTAGATGATCTTTATAGGGATAGTGGTTTTTCAATGTTCATTTGCAAATTTAGAGAAAAAAAATGTTTAGGAAAAGAAAATTTTCTTAATTCATACGTATGTAGAATAAGACGTAGACTTTGTGGACCTTTATTCTGATATAAATAGGAAAGTCGAGTTTCAGTTTACTGACCAGTAGTATTACTGACTTCGTGTAGGTCATATATATATTTGTTACACTGATATCAGTATTCAATGAAGCATAACATCGATGCTAGTGTTCAATAGTTCAATATTTACAACAATACTACATATTCTTAGCTATAACATCAAACTGATCAAAAATTGACATCCATTTCACTAAGAAACTGTCAATTGATTTATTATATAAAATGCTTACATATATATTCATTTCTTTTTCTAGAAATTCATTCAAGCCGTCATTCTCCATCCAGAAGCATCGTTACTACTTATGAACCTCAACTTAGCGAACAACTACCAACTGTCATTAATCCTAATGATGAAAGTAAACTTATGACTAGAATTGCAATTGGAACTAATTCACAACCATATCCAGGTACGAATATATTACAAAGAACAATCGATGAATTTCGCTCATCCGGTACATTATCTTTTTTTTTTCTTCATTGAATGATATCGTCACAGAATCACTTGTAGATGCATTAAATAATGCAACACAATATGAAGAGCCATCCGTCTCTCGTACATTGTCACATAATAACAAAAAAAGATGTCCTTTATGCAATTATGAATTTCTTATAACAAATGATGAACTTGAAATGTATACACATGTCGAAACATGTTTGATTTCAGCGAGTTTAGATGATTTTGGTCCTTTAGTTGAACCACAACAATATGAATGTCCAATATGTAATCAACGATTTTCAGGCAATGATGATGAAGCATATCGTGAACATTTATCGAATTGCTATAGAGAATCTAGTGGCAATTTTTAAATACGAACAAAATATTTTTTTGCTCTAAATCTTCAATATACTCAAACGTATCTATAATGGATGTGACAGAATAAATGATGATCACAATATTTTTAGAATATTTCAATATTTTCTTGATAATTCAAGACAAATTTTTTTTTTTTTTTTTTTTTATCAAAATATTCATCTTTGAATTTTCTACACAATTATATATTTCTTTTAATAAAAGTATATTTCATAATTTTTTTTTTGTAATATGCAATACAAACAATTAATATAACATATTTAACTTTTAAAATAAGTCTTTTATGACATTGTCTTATCAAATTTATTGATTATTGAAATAATATTATTTTCTATTTTCATGAATTGATTATTTCAAACACAATAATTCTTATTGACATATGGTAGAAAACTATCGTCATAACATTTATATATAAATACTGTCGTTAACAAAAAGAATAAGAGAAAACTCAAATACGATAATACAAACTGATATATCATTGTTTACCTCGATGATGTTATGATGACGTTCTCCTGCTTCATGTTTATAAGATTTCTGGCGTTTGGCATATTCATCGCATTAATCAATTAAACTATTCAATTTCATAAAAAGATTTCTTTCACAAGTTGCATGTGTTATACTATTACATGTCAAAAAAAAAACTTTAAAATATACTTTTATTAAAAGAAACATATAGTTTTGTTACGAATTCAAAGATGAATAATTTGATAATAAAAATTGTCTTAAACTATCGAAAAAATATTGTAGAATATACAAAATGAATAAGGAAATCTATGTTTTCTCTTTATAATATAATTATTTTTAATATAAGAATTTTATTTAATAGGCAATAATATCAAACAATCTGTTCAATCAATCAAACCAAATGTTTTTCTTCAATCTATTCGTACGTGTCCAATTTGTCAAGCTATCTTTAATATATTATCAATGAATGAACAACAATTTCAAGAACATATCAATGCTCATATGCATATAAAATAAAACATAATTATCTGTGATTATATATTTTTTTATAAAGTTTATCAATTTTGTTCTTTTTCTTTTGTTAAAATTTATTTTTCTTTTTTCGCGCTAAATCAAAAATGAATATTTCAAATACAAAATGCTCTTCTTTAAGTCATGAACATTATTCTCTCATATTAATTACAAGTTTTTATGGATTATTGATCATTGAATCAATCTATATATGCATGAAACAAATATGGAAATTAAAAAGATGGTAGACGAATTAAAATTTATATGGAATGAATCTGTATTTTGATTATATAACTTATCTGTTTATTATCATAACTAAAAGTCTTATGTTATAATCATATTGACGAGAATTTTGTATAAATTAGTCAATAACAATGTTGTATATTAAAATACTATAATTATAAACTAGAAATATAATTTTTTCTTGATTTAGAAATCTAACTAGATCTATAAAAATAAAGCATTTTTATTCTGTACTTTTCAAAGATAATTTATAGAATCAATATTGTATTCATTCCATATTTATTGAAAAATCAACTGACAATATTTCGATCAATGAAGTTATTGAGTTTGCAATAAAAGTCATTTGCTAAAGATATGTCATAAAAATTGAATTTGCTACAAAATTCAATATGTGGACAAAGGAACATTCTTTTCAGTTGAAAATTTTAAAATATTTTTTTGTCATTATATGGTTCTTCAAAATAATTGCCTACAAATATGTAGAAAAATCAGTAGAACAGTCATAAATTGGCTCTAAAGACCGATGATCAAGAACTCTATTACTATTGTAAATCCAATATTTATTTCTTTTATCGTTTTATTATTAACTCAGCAGTCAAAATATAAAACAAACTTTTTCTCTAAGTAAATATTGATAATTTTACTGTCCTTATCTACTTATACAACATTAGTTATCTCTTTTTTTTTGTGACACTATGAAAATAATTTCTTTCCTTTCATTCTTACAGGTAATCTCTAGTCTTCTAGTTACATCTATAAAACACACTATAAAAAAAAGCAATTCCTTCTTTCCTATGGCTATGTAGAATTCTTCTCGAAATTACAATCAGGTAAATTTAAACAACATAAAAGATTTTATTAGATTTTTTCTTTGCTTTTAAATAGAATGATACCGATCTAACTATGATCAATCCTTCATTTTCCCATAATCGTAATGACGCACCTATAGATAGTCGTACGCCGATTGTAAAACATTCACAACAAGCTAATGAATCATCCAAAAATACTCAACCAAAAATGTTGAAACCTGTTTATAATCAAAATAATCAAACGAAGTCAAATGGTAAACGTGATCGAATATTTGTTGAACATTATTCAGACGGATCAACTAACCAACTTGAACAAATTCTAAGTTATTATCGACAAGATCTTAAACAAGAATCAAATACACAATTAGACTGTGATAGAAATTTAATAACACGTCTTGTTGATTTTATTCGACCAGAATATTCTTTAAATAAAAATAAAATGAAAGATTTAGATATATTATTTAACGAAATATTAAATTTAAATGAGAAGAGATTTATTAAACAAAAAGAAAAAAAAAATGAACAAGTCCAGAAGGAAATTGCAAATTTGAAAAAATTAATTGTCACATCAGCTAACAAAGATCATATTACAAAAAATATTTCTCAAATAAGTACGATAATTTATTAAAAAATAATTATTTAATCTAATTATAAATCTAGATTCAATGATTGATTATAAAGTATGGATGGAAATAGAAGAGGAAACAAGAAAACTTTATAATTTAGTTGAACGACAACGAAATCAAATCAATGAACTTATCAAACTTATACCATTACAAGGTGAATATTAAAATGTATAATTTCGATTTGAAAACATTGAGGTAGATTGTTACTAGTTTCAATCTAAGCAATGAGGCTAACTGGTAAAAATGAATAAATGATTCTTGATTTTTGTAGCTTAGTTACTACAATGATAAGACAAGAGAGATTTATTTGACTATCGAAGATGATCATTGTAACTGTCGAAAATAGTATAATAATGTATAAGTTTTTGCTATAATCTGTCAATCCTTTTTAATCTGACTCAATATAGTTAATGTACAGCTAGTATTGACTAGATTCAATATTGAGAGGTCAAAAATTGACAACAATTTCATCAGGAACGTTTCCATCCATTTATCATACAAAATATTTACATGCATCCAATTATTTTTTCTGGAAACTTTTCTAGGCCAAGATTCTTCATTTCATGATATTACGGCTCCGATTAGTAAACCTCCAATTGTCAAGCAACAACCAGCTGCCTATAATGCTAATGTTGGAAGTACTCTTGTGACTAGAGTTCGAACTCTTGCTGGTCAACAACAATATTCAGGTACGAATATATTGTATGTGAGAGTGATTGTCATTATTATCTTCAGATCCTTCCGTCAAGAACCCATACCTTTACCCATATTTAGTCATTCACACTTATATAATAATAAAAGAACATGCCCTATATCCAATTATTTATTTCTTGATACAGATAATGAACTTGAAGTGAATACTCATATTGTGACTTGTTTTAATTCTTTAGGTATCAATGATCCTAGTTCTTCTCCTCAATCAACACAATATGAATGTCCAATATGTAAACAACGATTTTCAGGCAATGACGATAAAGCATATCGCGAACATCTGTCGGATTGTTATAGTGAATCTGATGCGAGATTTTAAAGAACAAGAAATTTTCTTCAAGACCTGCAATATCTTCAGACTATGATTCGTATATATACATCGACATTTATTATTTTTGTAAATATAACTGCCTTTTTGTAACAGTAGTAGCGCACAAAATTTATTCTTTTCGTTTTCATGTTATAGTAATTCATGAACAATTTTTCATAAACAATTACAGAAAAACCATTTACAGACTCTTTTACAATAGATCATTAACTTGACGAGAACACTAGCAACTCGCAGGATACATGTGTCCTGCGAGTTGCTAGTATTTCAGATCCGACAATGTTCAATAAGTACGTATTTTGACAGTCGATTTCTTCTTTTGCACAACATTTTAATAGGGGCTCTACATGTATGTATTATAGCGACATTAGTCAAGTAATTGTATTATATGAAAGATTTTCATGAAAACTATGGGTCCGCTGTTTAGATAACTAAGGAAGACTTTTGCATCTATATTAAGACGCTTACTGCACTTAACAATTATAATTTCACCAAAAATATTTTTCCTTATTAATTTCATAAGCGAAAAACAAACGATTTCGAGATTGTGTTATAAAAAATGATATTATTGTTAAAATGGTATTTGGCGATAAAGAATCTAAACTTGGCTTTGTTCATTTTCTTTTCACCATCATCATCGTGTAAAAAAAAGAAGGCTGTTGCTTGTACTTCTACTATTGATAAATCCTTTCTAATAACAGAATCAGTATCATCATCTTCATCACCGCTATCTTTATTATCAGCAACCGCTATAAAGATCTCTATTGTTCCTACAGATATTAGTCATTCTTCAAAAGAACTACTGCCTCAATCAAAATTATCTTCATACGAAACAAACAAAGATGATCGATGCTGATATTCGACATTTCCGTGGTTAGAATATTTACTAGAGCAAAACTTTATATTTTGCTACTATTATCGTCATTTTGATGATGAACTGAATTTAATGAATAAAATGAATAAGCTTTCATCACTATGTGGATAAATTTGTTTGATGATAAGTCTGTTTTCTGTGATGTATCTATTTCAGATTATAGAAATTGACAAATTTGGTTTGACGAAAACTCTAGGTTTCCTATTTTACCTACAAATACTTAAAACAACAGCTGTAGATATTGTCGATAGAGCACATGTTAAATTAATTTGAAAAGATTATCACGCCTGACAAAAATGGCATCAGGAGTATTATTATGCTTGCGAGCAATTTATGGTTTTTCAAAAAATGAAAATTTATATTTGAAATGTCGAAAATGATGGATAGCCATGTCTTCATTTGCTAAAATCGTTGTATGATGAAGATGGCAAGCGTAAACCAATAAAGTTATAATATTGGAAAGTCATGAATATCAATGTTCATGAGCTTATCGAAATAAGTTCCGATCTGCTGTAGGTATAATAGATATATACAATAGAGTTTATTTTCCAGTTAGATTAGCCTTTAGAACAAGAATAATATTTAATTCAGAAAGAAAATAGAACACCAAAATAAAAAACAACAAGTGAATAACCTAGAAGCGACCAGCAAAAAACAAGATTTTTTTATTGCCAAGTTGTGGATTTTGACTTGTGCTATAACTTTTCCTTCAAGATCGTTTTTTGATATTGCTCATGAAGACAGTTGTGGGACTTGAACGAAGTTGTTTATATTTAATTTTAAAAGTAACTATTTTGTTTACGTCCCATAACTATCTTCATGAACAATATAGAGAAATGACCATGGAGGAAAACTTATAGCAGAAGTCAAGATCTATAAAACTTGTCATAAAATGTTTGATCAAATACGTCAAAACCTACTGTGAAAATCAATCAATACAAAAAGCAATATAAAAATAAATGTGTCAATCCTACTCGTGTGTAAATGGTTGTACTATTTTATTACTACAGACCATGAAAAAGTGATTTATCAACAGATTTTTAATGATCAAAATGTATAAATTCCTAGTTTGTATTTTTTCGTTAAATAATTAAGTAAAAGTAAATACTCATCAATGAAAATACAAATAAAACATAGAAAATTATCGATTTGATTGTGAGTTCAGGAATGGTGTTCTCGGAACTTGACCATTCCATAATCAAGTATACTCAAAGCTCAAACGAAAGAAGATTTGAAATCATGATTTATCTAATTTTACTACATCACCAAATATTACTTTGTTCTGTTCGATGATGATGATGACGCACAATATCGTTCTTTTTTCTTTCCTTCATGCTTGAATGGCAAATGCACACGTCGATATTGCACTATAAACTTATATAAATGAAAGTAATTGTGTAATGTGACATCATACTTTCTTCGCTGGTTTTTTTTTTCTGAATTATTACATATGAACTTTTTCGTTGTAAAAGAAGGTATATAAACATTGGTGAAAGGCATTATAATTATTGTTCACAAAGTATAATGTCCTCGAAAAGAAAACTACCTCATCAATCACAAAATATAATGTCTTCGAAACGAAAAGCGTCTCGACGATCACGAAGCTCGTCATCTGAGTCACAACGAACGACTACAAGATCATTGTTTGTCTCAGATATTTCATTAGATATCAAAGAAAAAACATTGTTACATGATCTACGACATAATTATGCTGGTGTCGAAAAAGTTTCTCGAATTCACAATGATAATGGAAAATCGGCTGATGCTATGCGAATCGATTTGAAATCCGATAAGCAGGCTATGAATATTCTCGATAATGGATACATTCTCATTGATGGTAAGAAATGTAATGTTCGACCATATTGGCCAAGACTTTGTCGTCGATGTCATAAAGAAGAACACAATACTTCAGAATGTCCTCAAAGACCATTGACAGTTGAGAGTGCTATGCAGATATTTAAAGAGCAACAAACGTAAGTCCTAGAAAAATAAAATAACCTATCTTATCTGTCTTCTTTTTATTTTATGTAGGCTACTCGAAGCTAGGATAAATGCCTTTGAAAGTAAGTGGAATACACGTTTATCATCATTGATCACACCATCAATGAACGTTAGCATTGATCAAGTTTTACCAATATTCAAAGATCTAAAAATGGTTAGCCAACAATTAAATCAACAAAATGTTCAAGCTCAAAGACAGCTTCGTTCCATTGTGAATCGAGCGCAAGATATAAAAGTACAATTGAGTAATGCGCAAGAACAAAAACCATAGTTGTAATCATCATCAATAAATTAAAAATTAGACGATAAATAACGGTGGGCAAAGCGTATCGTTTGCAGAAAAAAAACCTATGTAAAGTTTTGATAACTCAGATGATCAGCGAACTATTTCTAATCCAAATATATTTCATTATTGTACTGTGATATAAATTGTATTTTTATGTGAGAAAGAGTATACATACATGTTTTTTGATGAAATTTAGTGTACATTTATATTAAACTCCGCAAAATATTCAGTTTAAACCATAAACATATCCACTTTTCGATTAGTTTCCCGAAGTACGAGTGTGATTGGAGATTCTGATGTGGCTGTGAGACAACAAAATACTGATACCAATACCTACACTGTGCTCATTAGTAGAGCACTATCTGATCTTAGAACTCTAGAGCTGTGATTTGATCTAGATGCATGCTGCTGATAAATACATTTTAATGAAAATACATACCTTTAAACAGTTCGGAATAGAGATGTGTGGGAGACTAAAGACTAAAACTTTACCGGAATCGGAACGTGAACCTAAGATTCTATGATGTCCTGAACTCTATCACTTTTCAAGTGAAGGCTTTTGGACATAATTAGATTTGTGACAGCTCACAGTTCAAAGAACAGCTTCTTTTTTCGAAAACTGTGTTCATCGACTAGTTTATTTTAGAGAACTGGACTCAATAAACGGTTCTTTTCAATTAGATTTCTTCTTCCCATGCTGATGATATAGCGATTGTATTCAGTTTTTGTATCAGTTCGCGAAAAAAGGGTGGGGTGTGGATGTAGGTGTGAAATTAGGTAATCTCGACATCCATACTCTAATTTTTCAAGATCATACATACGTAGAACGAGAAACAACAATGAGTAAACATAGAATATCGTAAGGTAAATGTGTTTCTTATTAATTTGTACTGAAAATGATTGTTGTTGAGCGAAAAAGAAGCACTGGATTGATAATTGAAAATGATAATCTTGACTCCTACTGAAAAAAGGAATAATTTTTCTTGAGTTAAAAGCAACGACAACGAATAAGAAAGTTTCTTGCTCAATTATTGCGCTCAAAAGCGAATCGGTTTGCTAAGGAATGGATATAATAGCCTTTCCGAAGGCACTAGCAAACATAACGTATAAATCGACTTTCGTGTTGATATGATTCTCATCCAACGAACGGCAAAAATTGACTTTTGCAATACAATTGAGAATTGATCTCAAACGCTAAATCATTGAAACAAGTTTGTTCAATTCATTTGCGAATTCCATTTTACAAATACTGTTCATGAATTCGAAGTTCAACTCTGTTACATTTGGTGCTACTAGTACAGGGCAGGGATTACCGTTGTCGCGTTACGTAACTAGAAAGTAAAAGAAAAAAAGGCCAAAGCTTTGCTCTTTTGAAAGGGTTGTTCTTCGGCAGGATATTTAGCATCGCTAAGAAAATGAGTGTTTGTGAAAGATTCAGGATCTTTTGGTTGATTAGAACAAAAATGGGTACTAACCTGTCCCAAAACTGTGTGAGACAAGTCGAATTTCCAATATTGAAATATTATCTTTTGATTCATTGCACTGAAGACATGTTGGAATATAATTCGTCATAGTGAAGCGGATAAGTGATGATTCGAGTCCTGCCTTATTCAATCGCCAACTCCTAAGATTGCTCGAAAATTTCAAAACGACAGGTAAAATACCAGGCATCGCTCCAATGAAGATGAAACTATCATCATTGTGAAGCTGAAGAACGGGGTGTGAGTGTGGGTGTGAGTTGTGAGTGTCAGGGTGTGGGTGTGAGTGTGGATGCGGGATGGATGTGGGTGTAGATGGGCGGGTGTGAATGTCGGTGCAGGTGTAGGGTGT